GCCTGTCTGTCAATCAGTCTCTATCTCTCTCTCTCTGTCTCTCTCTGTCTCTCTCCATTATGCTTTGTACCTGTAATTATACTTGTGTGCCTAACACAAGAATCACTCACTTAACCAGGAGGTCACTTATTCAGCAACCTTAAATATCAGGAACACAGCTCAGAACCAGAAGGTCAAGGAGAGGGGGAGAAAAACAGCCCTCTGAGCAGCCAAAACAGATGTCATACACTATGGCTCATGTACTTTCCTCACAGGAGAGCTCCTCCCAGGTCCTCACTCCGGCCTCTATCTACTCCTTTTTTAGACATGTTTCTGGGAAATGCTTTTATCTCATTTCCCACCCACAGCCTAATAGAAGCAATAAATTGGAAGGGTGGGGAGGCTGCTATACACACTCATACTGACAGCAGCAAAAAGTCACAGCTGACAGCCTGTCAGTGAGGGAAGAAACAAAACACAATGATAAAGAAGAAGAAAGCACAGAAATTGTAAAGGCAAAAAAGAAGTCTGGGGCCATTCAGCGTAGGGGCAAAAAGCAAATCCTGAAGGCTTCATTACTGTCATGTGATTCTGGCCTTAGACTTCCCTCCCCCTCCAAAAAAAAAAGTTCATATGGGTTCACAGAGTTAAATTGGCTACATCTCCTCTTCAGGTTTATAGGGGTATACTATAAAAGAGTATTCTCTAATGTCATTACCTGGAGCCTCATTTCAGCGTGTTCCTCTCCCTTTCTGTTAACCACCAGTCGTTGGTGTCTTTACTTTTAACCAATTAGCCTCAATTAGATTTAACTGTGAAGACAGGGCAAGAATAGAAGCATAAACATTTCCCCAAACACCTAAGGAAATACTCTCCTCCTAAACCTTCTCAGTCCCTGGGGATAGTGGGCCCAAATTTCAAGCAGTTTCTAAATAACATTTTTCCCACTAAGTGTATTTCCAAATATGGCATAGCTGCTGGATAAATACCATCTTGATCACCCCCTGGCTAGGTCAAGCAGCTCATGGGCTACTCAACTCCTCACCATCTGGTTTCAGGCAAATCCCATCATGCACTCCTGATCCTGGGCTTTTGATGACTTGCCATGCTAACCCTCTGAGACTCATAATGCAGCCTTCACTATTTGTGAAGTGATACTCCTTTACTTAAAAACAAGGGGAAAAAATTAGAAACAGACACAACAATGATAGAAGGAAATAGTAGACCACATGCTCTCAGATTCATGCCAGACCCTACCTGGAGGCCCACAGCATCTTGTCCTCCTTATTCAATGCCAGCCAATCAGCAAAGAGCCAGACTAAGAGATCCACTTTGGCTTTTGAATATGCTCCAGCCTCAGCTGTGCACCCATTTAAACGGGTTCCTCTTCACCACATGGGTAGAGGACTAGAAGAGAGTCCAAAAAACGTGTACTCCAAAGTCCACTTTGGTATATTGCATCAGCCAGCTCTGCTGCACGTGCTCATCAGTACTAGAATTTTTGGCCAGGCCCTGCCTGGCCGCCTCCACCCTGTTTTAAGATCATAGAATCACAGATTTAGAGCTGGATGTGACATTAGAAGTCTAAACTCTTCATTTTACAATGAAAGAACCAGAGAAATCCAGGGACTTGTTAGAGTCACTGCAGAGGTAGTAAATAGGTGGCAGAATCAGGATTTGAATTTTGGTCTTCTTACTCCAAATTCAATATGCTTTTCCTGTCTCTCCATAGCACTGTTTTTACATTGATGCTTTAGGTTATGATTCTGGATCACTGAAAAAGTTAAATTATGCTCCCTATATTTTAATTTAAATCATAAGAATGTGTATAATCTATTTTTTAAAGAAAGGTATCCAGAAAAATGGTTAAAAGGAAAATTTTAGCTCTTGAAAAAGCAAGCTTCAGTTATCCAGATGGTAAATTTTCTGAAGATGCCAGATAAATGAGATGTTACTCTAGATGTAAAAGATTAGACTGTTACATGAATATATTTGTTTATGGTGTGTGGGGGGGGAAAAACCTCCCTTGGAAGATCTGGGAAAGCTTCCTTCTGGAAAAAGAATGCCTAAATTCATTTAGGCAATTTCAACAAACATTATATCCCATATCCCAAGCCTGACGCCTTTCAGTTGTTGAAACAAAAGCCCCTAGACTACATCCAGGCTTCAGAGGCTTTCAAGATTTTGGATCAATTAGTCATTTTCCCCCTCCTATTTTTTTCCATTGTAACTTTGGATACAAGTCAAGTTTCCCCAGTACATGTTGCCATAGGCAACTCTGTTTGTTTAGGGTGGAGTGGTTGGTTTTGGCAGGTTGGGGGAGGAGCAATTAATTCTAATAGGTATAGAGTAAGATTAAATCCTGTTCTTTCCGCTGATTTCCCCATTTCTCTCTCTTCTTCCCTCCCTTTCACTTCCTTAGAAGACCTCACAGAGGCAGTAGTCTGTAAATCATTTTAGTCCTATAGGATTATGGAGCTGGAAAGGACCTAGGAGGTCACCTAGGCCCACTCCTTCCTTCCAGGCGGACCATGCTTAATGATTCCCAGATGATAATCCATCCTCCTGAGAAGTAGATTCCACGGCTTCCCTTGGTTACCCATTGTAACATTTATCAGTCTTCGCTGTCAGTTCCTTTTTACAGATGTAAGAAAACCTAGAATGCTCACGTCAGAGACAATATACATGTATGAGGGGACAGTGTGTCTGTATTGTTGCATTTTTTTAAATAAACATTCACTTGGAAAAGAAATCAGGGACGGATTTAGCGTTTCAATGAGTCAAGTACAGCTGGGGAAGAAATAACAAGTTGCAATGTTGAAAGTGGAAAGCCTACCTCTGAACCTTTCTCTCTTTTAGTATCTTCCTGGCCTCCTGTCTTTTGCATAGATGTTCCACTAGGCATCTGAGATTGCCTCGAGTCTAATAAATCCTTAGTTGGGTGGCTGTAAAATAGAAATCCTGATTTCCCCATCATTCTAGGGTCTGTAGGGACAGAACAGTAGGCCCCAAGTATCCAAACACTCACATTCTAGGCTATTTGTGCCATTCCCTGATTTATCTTTGGGTTGAAAAGAGGACTTGATCTTGCTTCTCATTCTCGGTTGACATTGCTAAATGGCTATTAAACAGATGTCATATTTCACCTTACAGGTAGCAGCAGCATGTCAGTGGTTAGCACACTGGTGTGCAGCCTGCATAAGGTCTCAGCTACTTGGGGATCCCTTAGCATGTGATTTCCTTAAATAATGATGGGTAGAATTATAATTCCCTAAAACTTTAAACTGCAGAGTAGCTGCCAAACTGCAAACAGCTTCATCACCAGGAGTTCTTTTCCGTGGTGTCAACTTCATATAGAAACAGGGTCACTATATAAATATGTGCTTCTGTAATATAATACACATATAATATAAAATAAATTAATCTAATGTATTTGATAGGTCATCTTTTACTAGCAGCTGCTATAAGACCTTGAAATGGGTGATATTATCCCAGTTGGGCAAATGAAAAAAACTGAGGCATAAAAAAGGGAGGGGAAATGGTTTGCCCATAAAAATTCAGAATTAGAGTTTGCAACTTGGGAGGCATCAGTGTGTTATATAGTTGTAAACATGGATTATTAACCTGAGTTCCATGAATTTATTCTTAAAAATATTTATTCTTTAAAATATTTTATAACTATATTTCAATAGATTTAGTTTATTTTATATCTTTTGCATTCTATGTATTTCATTTTACACATTTAAAAAGAAAACATTATTATTTGAAGAGATCCATAGGCTTCACCAGACTGCCAAAGGGGTCAAAGACATAAAAATGGTTAAGGATCCCTGCCCTAAGCAATTAACTTGAGAGGTTTTTAGAGGCTTTGCAGTAATTCATCAGTTTAGGATGGAGTGGAGCCAATGTTATTGAGTAGGTGGGCTGGCTGGTAAGCCCTCCAAGATGCTGTGGGACTGTATTTCCTGCCAGGGCCTTTACTCTTGACATCCATGGCATTGGGCCACTGAGTTATTGTTTAACCACTTGTTGCTGTTCTTATCATGTGTTCCCTTTTGGGGTGAAACACTCCATTAACTCTGGTTTGGCCTGGGCCTGATTCCCATTTTGGTTCCTGCTAACTTGCAGCAGTAACAGGAGCAAATGGAAACTGTTTGGCTTGCTCTCCTGTTACCCTGTGGTTTCACCACTGTGTGCACAGGACTACTGCACATGTGTGAACATTTCTGCCCCAGGACTGGGGTCACTGAATGCAGTGACAAGCTGCTCCGGGACAGTCACCCTCTTCTATTTACATAGCATCTCTGGAATCTCCTCATCTCTAAGTACCAGTCTTTGTCTGATCCAGCGGAAGTGATGGATGCCGTCATCCTTGCTGGATTGGAAGCAGAAGAAATGACCAATGATCCACCCCTTAAGCCTGACTGACAGTAGGCCAGTCAGTGGTAGGAGCTACAGGCAGAGCTTAGAGCTTTGTATAGTCCCTACAGGTTCCTTCTGGCCTCCCGAGGGCATGAGACTCTGCTATTATTTGGGAAAATTAGGTGAAAATTCATATCCATCCCCTATGCCATCTTAGGGACCCTGTGGACAAGCTAGTTTATAGCCACTTACAAAAATATATAGACTAAGACTAAGGAAAAAGGGCCCCTTCAGAAGATTCAAGACACTGGCCTGCTACTCATGATACTGAGTATCGCTAAGATGTCTTTGGCCTTGGTGCAATGGTCCTGGAGTCATTAAAATAGTTCATCACCATTAGCAGATGCAAACGCCTCGCTTTTATATAAGAGTTGGCGAGTATTTTTTCCTGCCTCTGTTGTTGTTGGTTCTTTGTTTTAGAAGAGTCCCGATGACATTGGGGGTGATGTCTTGACTTGTGCGTGAATTGAATTTAAGTGAAGCAGAGTCACATGACATTGTCAGCCTTATTCTCTCTAGGGATTCTCTAGGGGGAATAAAACAAGAGCAATGATAACTGAGATCATACATAGACACTGACTTGTCATTTTCCTCACCAGCCTTTTCAAGCTGATGGGTGGTGTGATACAATCAACAACCGAGCCTACTGTCAGTATGATGGTGGCGACTGCTGTTCTTCAACCCTCTCTTCCAAGAAGGTAGGTAAACAGAGCTTGGGCAGGGGGCCCAGGGGGATAAGAGTAGATATCACTAAAAGCACTGAGTTGCTCTTGCACGAGTCCATCAGCCAAACCCATCTGAATTTTTGGCAGGACCTGATTTCCAGAAACAGCCTACTTATTTCCCTCAAATATCATTCCTTTGTAGTACACACACACACACACACACACACACACACACACACACACACACACACACACACACCTAATATGATCTTGGGATTAAGAAAAGCATAGAGTCCAGAACCAGAGAAGTGCTATTTCCACTCTATTCTGCTCTGATCAGACCACATCTAGAGTACTGTGTTCTATTTTGGGTCTTACACTTTAGACAGGGCATTGATAAGCTAGGAAGTGTTCCAAAGAGAACAATCATAGTGTAGGGTTCCCTTAACCACACTATATGAAAATTATATAGGAACTGGGGATGCTCAATCTGGAGAGGAGAAGACTTGAGAGGCAGGGGTAAAGACCCTGCTGTCTTTAAGTATGTAAAGGGTTGCCATATGTATGAGGCATTAAGCCTTATTTTCCTGGTCTTCAGAGAGCAGCAATAGGATCAGTAAATGGGTAGAAGTTACAAAGATACAGATTTCAGTTTGACACAAAGAAAAAAAAAACTTCACAAAACTAACATTATCCAACAGTAAGAGGAGCTACTTTTGGAGTTAGTGGGTTTCCCTTCAGTCAAAGGTTAGATGTCTATTTGTAAAGTGTGCTGTCATGGAACTCTTGTTCAGGTATGGGTGGGATTATTAGATGGCCTCTGAAGTCCCTTCCTCCTCTGATGTTGTGTCTCCTTAAGTGGATTTTCTTTGAACATTCAGAAGAAAGAAGGAATGCTGGGGGAAAGGGAGAATCTTGAGAGTTACAGGATTCAAGTTGAGGGTTTTTAGGATGATTCTGTGTTCTTCTTCAGCCTTGTTCAGTCCCAGCAGCAAAAGCAAAAGTCCCAATAGACCAGCCATCCACCACATCCATTCTCACTTAACACCACCTCCCCCAAACCTCCATAGAGCAAATGAGAAGAAAGGTTTGTTTGTTGAGACAGCCATAAGGTGATATCTAATTTTTATTAAATGACATAAGCAGATTATTCATTTAAGAGACCATTTCACAGACCATGTGAGAAATCTCCCTAGGACACACTTCGGGAATCAGTGATCTGGATGAACTGAGAGCACTGGGGCTCTAAGAGTAATGAAGAAGTTCATCACATGGGCTGAACAGGCTGTAATGGGCTTTTGGACAGGGTATTTTGGAGGAGATTCTGCCATTTCTGAACATAGGTTCGTGGATTTAAAGCTAGAAGGGAAGGCAGAGCCCATGTGGTGGGACAGAAAAGGAAGTGGAGAGAGAAGAAGATTTTTGGAAAATCTGCTCATTTGCAACTGGTCAAGGAAATCTTGCTTCACTCTTTGCACATGGGCCCACAACAAATTGCATACACAGAGTCAGTCCATGCAATTTCCACATTCCTTTCAGTTCAAAAAGTCTATGTGTAAGTAACATTTAAAATATTCAGGAGCCATCCCACTTCCCAAACTAGCTAAGTTTAGAAGGATCAATTTCCTATCACTTCCCACAAGCCTGAAGTGCAAGCTTGAACCCAGATTGGTCCCCATATTGAGGCTGAAGAAGACCTTGATCAAGGAGTCCATCTGACTGCCACTCCTCCTCCCATGCTGTGTTCCTGAGGGATTCCTAGTCTCCCAAGGAGGTAACAGGTCAGAGCCATGTGCCATTCATTGGTTCTCATCTCATGGTCCTACTGGTCATGGCTTTACTGCTACCTTATTTTAACACTTACGAATATCATTTCACATAAACCAGTATTTGGAAGAGACCTTATTCCCCCTGGTGTCCCATTTAATCCACTTGACCCTGGGCATGTGATTTTCAGCTGGGAGCAGTACCCAAGCAACACTACCCAGCAAAGTCCCTGGATCCATCCTCCTCAGGGCACTTGGATAATCATTGTGTTCATACTGTGAATAGATTTCTCTTGGTTATGGATTTGGCGATATCGGATTTCTTGGTCAAATACAAGGCAAGACCTCTGTGTGTTCTTCACGTATTTCCCAGAGTACCCATGTATCCTGTGCACCACGACTTCAGTAAATCATCATAGACAAATTGGCAGCAAGGAAAATCTGACAATTGTTGGGAAAAGGGAGGTCTGGTGGAGGTATAGGTAAGTTCTGGGCCACCTCTGAAAGGGGGGAGGCCTAGAAAGAAGGAGCTTAGTCACATCCGAGATGGTAGAGGAATGCCAGAGTTTTCATAGATCACTAAAGTTTTCAATAAATTTTTAGAGCAGATAAGGCAGATACATTTATCTGGGAAGGAACCAAAAATGGCACAATTTTCCTATAAAACTATCAAGACTCCTAAGACTGTAACAATGCTTTGACTCCTGCACTACTATTGGCACTAGTACCACCACCACCGCCACCACTACCACTAGTACTACTACTACTGATAATAGCTGACATTTGTACATCACTTTAAAGACTGCAGTGATTTACACATATTATCTCATTCTGATCCTCACTCCAACTCTGTGAGGTAGGTGTGACAACTCCATTTTTCAGATGAGCAAACTGAGTCTAGGGGAAGCTAACAGTTTTGCCCAGGTCACACAATTTGTAAGTGCTTAAGGTAAGATTTGAACTCAAATTTTCCTAACTACAAGCTCAGTGCTCAAAAATACTATATTACCTGGTGGCAGTGTGGTAAATGTCAGACACCCCAGATTGGGAATCAGAAAACGTGTATTTCAGCATAAACTCTGCCATTAATATATGGAACACTGGACAAGTTACTTAACTTGTCTAATTCTGCTTCCTCATCTGTAAAATGAGTGTTCTACCTACTTTGTCATGATATAGTGGGTTGAGAACTGGTCTGTCAGTCAGAAGATCTGGGTTGAAGTTGCATCTGACATGCTCTGACTGTATGACCCTTAGAAAGTCACTTAATGTCTCTGTGCCCCAGGTGACTCTCACAAACAATGATTCTTATCCATTTTGTGTGTCATAGACCCCTTTGGCAATCTAGTGACACCCTCCTCAGAATAATATTTGTTTCTTTCATTCAAAACTGAATGCTTGAAGGAAGTGCTAAATTTCAGTTAGAAGTGAGTGGAAACAAAGCTGTACTATTTTTTCTCCATCAAGGTTCACAGACCTCATGAAATCTTTCCATGAAGTCAGGGATCCCAGGTTAAGAATCCCAGAATCCCTATAAGCTAAAGGACTTTCTGGATCTCCATCAGTGGAATAGGTTTTATCATTGAAAATTTCTTACACTAGTGAAATCAAAGTTGATGTCAAGGAGGAAAAAAAAAAGCTTGCCTCAAACGCCTTAGGGCGTGAGACAATCAAATGAGACAGTGGATATGAAGAGTGTTAAAAATCTCCAAGTAGAAAACAAGCAGGGGAGCAGCTAAGTGGCGCAGTGGATAGAACCGTGGCCCTTCAGTCAGGAGGACCTGAGTTCAAATCCGGCCTTAGACACATGACTCTTACTAGCTGTGTGACCCTGGGCAAGTCATTTAACCCCAACTGTCTGAGAAAAAAAGAAAGAAAGAAAGAAAGAAAGAAAGAAAGAAAGAAAGAAAGAAAGAAAGAAAGAAAGAAAGAAAGAAAGAAAGAAAGAAAGAAAGAGAGAGACAGAGAGAGAGAGAGAGAGAGAAAGAAAGAAAGAAAGAAAGAAAGAAAGAAAGAAAGAAAAGAAAGAAAGAAAGAAAGAAAGAGAAAGAAAGAAGGAAAGAAAGAAAACAAGCAGGATGCTGTCAGAAAAACCTGGAAAGACTTACATGGATGGATACAAAGTGAAATGAGTAGAACCAGGATACAACAACAGCAATATTGTATAATGATCAACTGTGAATAACCTAGCTATTCTCAGTAATACAATGATCCAAGATAATACCGAAGGGCTTATAATGAAAAAAAATTCTATCCATCTCCAGAGAAAGAAATGACAGAGTCTTAATGTAGATTGAAAAATACTTTTTAAAAAACTTTCTTGGGGCAGCTAGGTGGCGCTGTGGATAGAGCACCAGCCATTTGACACTTACTAGCTTTGTGACCCTGGGCAAGTCACTTAACCCCAATTATCAAAAAACAAAACAAAACAAAACGAAACAAAAACCAACTTTATTTTTCTTGGATTCTTTTCCCTCTGTGTTTTCTGTCACAATATGACTTACATGGGAAGAAAATGTAAAAAAAAAAATACTAGAAATTGCCTGCTTGCTTTGGCTATTTATCTGGATATAAGAAAAGATAGTAACAATGCATAAAGATAAGTTTGGGTGAATTGTGGGTAAAAGCGATCTTGAAATAAACAGTATGGGATTAAAAAAAATGTTTTTTCAAGTATTCTCTTAATCCCCAGGGTAACATAGTTTTCTCTCTGTCTCCTATAGGTAATCCCATTTGCTGCTGACTGTGAGCAAGATGAATGCACCTGCCGGGATCCCAAAGCAGAAGAGAATCAATAAATGGGGCAAAAAGACCCTGTTGCTGGCCCAAGAGTCTATGAGCCAGAGGCAACCCCCCTGGGGAAGACCTTCTGGCTAAGGGGGGCGGGGAGTGGGCGAGGAAGGAAGTCTGAAGAAAAGAATCCTCTGGAGACCAAGACTGATGGAAGGAAGAAGTGCCTGGAGGAGCTCGTAAGAAACAAGGGGAGGGGGAGAAGAAGAAGACGTCCTCTGAGAGAATGCCTTTAAGTGCCAAGCATGGCAGAAGACATTTGAGTTACTGATAATCATCATCATCCTGAATCGTAAAAGGGGAGAACCTCTTTCACATAATGGGATAACTACTCTTGATGGGCCAAGATCCCCCGTACCATGCTCCACTCTCATTCTCCTCTCCCACACTCTCATCTTCTTCTCCTCCCTTACTCTCCACCCCACCCACACCCAGCTTGTCAACTCAAACTCAAAATCATTGAGGAGAAGCTGCCAGGGACTCTTTGTACCTTCTTATCATAAATGGTCTGCCACTAGACGGCTCTGTCTTCTCTAACCTGTCTTGCTTCCTTTCTTCTGCTGCATAGACTCCTTCAGCAGTAATGAATTTAGTCATGAACTCTCTACAAGTATTTAAGCAAAACTACATAAATTGCATAAATATATGAAATATATGATATATTTTTTGCTGTCTATTAAGGTAAAACAAAAACCCTTTGTCACACACATGCTGCTGTAAAATGCATGTCCCAAAACAGATGCTAGGAGTCTAGGGGTAAGTGGATATAGCCCTTTCATCCTTCCTTGCTTGGTTGTAGGGTCTAGACAGGGAATAAGAGACTATGTGATAACTGTGATCCTGGTTATCCTTTGATGGGTTGGATTCAGGCCCTGAGAGCAGGGCTGAGCTACACAAACACTGGTTGAAAAACAACTTAGTGGGATTGAGACCAAGAAACCTAGATCAACCTCTCTTCCCTCCCATGTCTATTCAAACAGGCTAGGTTTTGCCTGGATGTTTCATGTCCCTAATATTGCACCATCTAGAGGCAGCATCGTATAGAGATTTCAGAATTGACCTTGGAACCGGGAAGATCTGGGTTGAAATCCTACCTCTGACAAATAGTGGCTGTGTGAACCAGCCAAATCGCTTACTCTCTCAACACACTAGGCAATTCTCTGAGACTTTGAAATTGCAGAAAAGGTACTGACCTGCCAAAGGGGGAGTTCCCTATACCAGTGAAATCTCAAGTTCAATCTCTATCCCTACGGTCCCTATTGAACTATATAGGAAAACTAGAATGTTCAGGCTTGCAAGGACTCTTTGGTTAGTGGCTATGTGCCTTCGACCCTATTCCAGAAATACATGTGAACCAGAAAAATTTTCAATCCTATTATCTTAAATATGAGATTTAGAAAACCTGATGAGACATAGACATTGGAATATAAGAATGAGGACAGAGACCAGATTGAAATCGAGGCTTATGGGGAAGTGAGAAATGCTAGACGAGACAGCTTTCCCATTTCAAGGTTATTTCACTGGAAGGAAAATATCACTGGCTAAGATAGAGTCATATTTGTTCCTTCTTTCTAGGGCAGGTAGGGGATTAAAGTCCCTTGCTTTCCAAGTCAAAACCTTACTGATATTTTCCAAATGCAATTATTCTATATTTAAGAAGCCTCTATCACGAGTTGGTGAGATGGCCAGTTAGACAAACTGAATGATCGAGGCTTCCAGAACATGTAAAAATCCTGCCTGGTTCATGGAATTCAGTGAAAAAAAATTAGACTTTAGAAATTTTGTGATAGATTTCCTCCATATGTTATTGTTCCATTTTTTTTTTAAAGCTCAGTACCCATTGCTGCCCTGTCTGGGGCCATGATCTCTCTATAATCATGTTTTTCCTTTAAAGTCTCTGACTTCAATGCCTGTAGAAGGAGATGCTAAAGGTATCACCTCTTGTTAGAACGTTCCCCTTCTTCTGACTCCAAGAGCACTCAGTTGACTTGGGTACCATCCAGGGGTTTTTTCAATCCCAAGGCTGACAGGGTAGGATGGAAATTGCCAATATGTTTAACTTGAATATGAATCTCATTCAGTCACTTAGCAACAAATATTTCCTTAAGACCTTCTGAGTGTTCATTAGTGTAGCCCTAAAAATTCGCTCTCTTCTTATCATCCCTGCCCTCTTTTCTATGCCCTTGTCACATAAGACCTCTCCTCTGACCACGAGAAGAATTTACTTTAAAAATATATATTGGAACTAACAGTGGAGGAAAAAGACAAAGATAAAGATGAAGAAAACCTGAAAATGACACAGAGCAGATCTATCAGCTTGAGGGTTAAAGGAGGCCCCAGCTTGGGGTGGGGATGGGGGTGGTGAGAGGGAGACGGAGGAAGAAATGAGTCAAGGTGACTCAGTCCCTAAACCAAGCCTGGAAGCATACCCAGGGGGTTACTTTTGGCAGTCAGAGATGATCCACAGAGTCCAAAGGAAATTCAAATCAAACGTTGCATGAAAAATCTGTGACCCATAGATATACACACAGCTAACTGGAGAAACACATGGAGTTAGGGTGACACTCTGTGGGGAGGTAGGCGAATTTCAGCAATATGAGACCCATAGTCTTTACTCTTAGCCATTTGGGCCCAATAGTTCAGTTTTAAAGGAAGTTAGCATAGTAATCTGCCTGCCAATGCAGCAAACTTAAATATATAAGTCCCTGCCTTACCCTCCCACACCCCCAAACTCCCAAAGATAGGTGTTTTGTGTTGGTATCTGGGTAAGCCTCTAGTAGGTACATGTTAATTCCTCTTTAGCACCTTAGACCAGTAGCCATGGGAAAGCAAATACTAACCTGCTATAGGCTCATTTTGTACTAAATCCATTTTCCACTGAAAGCCTTGGAGTAAGAACAAAAAAAAAAGAGAAGAAGAAAAAGAAGAAGAAGGAAAGATGAACTCTGGTACTCTCTAGATCTCCTGAAGAAATTGCTTTTTATTTTCCCACCTGCTCTGATCACAACATACACACTTTGGCTCACTAACTCCCAAGCCCACCATTTGTTTTATCACAGAAAGAGTAAATGGTCAGCAACTGTCATATTAAACATTATTTTCAAAGTCAACATTTTTGATATACTCAAGAACACATCTTTGTGTCACAGACCCCTTTCAGCAGACTGATGAAGCCTATGGATACCTCTTCAGAAAAAAAAATTAAATACATAAAATAAAATGCAAAGGATTATAATTGTTGTGATTGTGACAGATACAAGAGTGGTTTGCCATTTCCTTTTTCAGCTCATTTTTACTGATGAGGAAACTGAGGCAAAATAGGGTTAAATGACTTGCCCAGGGGCACACGGCTAATAAGTGTTTGAGGCCAGATTTGTACTCAGGAAGATGAGTCTTCCTAACTCCAGGCCCAGCATTCTATCCACTGTACCACCTAGCAGCCCATTATTTTGAAATAAAATTATCAGAATAGTTTAAAAAAATTCACGGGCCTCAGATGGCCCTAGAAGATGTAGCAAGATAAGGATGAAGTGAGGGGAAGCAGTAGAGGGGAAGAAGTTAAAAACAAAGCAAAACAAAAAACTATAGCCTAATTTTGATAAACATCCTTTTGTACACCTGAGGCCACAGAAAATTAAGCAAATACATTTCTGCCTCTGAAACAGACCTGGATTCCAAGGACGCTGGTAAGCTTTTCTTGGAAAACAATAGAAAGAATGAGTTATTCTTCATTTTACAAATGACTCTGGTAGAAAAATGGCTTTTATTGGGACATGAAAATACAGGAGAGTCCCAATTCCTTGGAAAAGCCTTCGAGCCTTCCTGCATGGTTGGAAGTTCAAGGCATAAGGTCAGAGAGCTATGGTAGCCATTAAGACTGCCCAAGAATGGCTGTAGTCCTAAACAAGGATAAGAAGTCTGTTGTTCACATGAGATTTTGTCTCTGCCCAGCCTCTTCATAAAGTTGACAGTAACTAGAGTTTTTCTTTTAGACTTCTTTATGTTTACACATTTTATTTTATGTTGCTCATGTCCTTGGCTCCCTGCTGCGGTGGGAAGACAGGAGCACCTATTTCTTATTTTCAGAAAATTAATACACTCACATATTATTTTCCCGTGGTTCCAGCTGGACCTGATCTAGCAGGTAGAAGAGTCCTCACTCAGTTCTAGCCTTTCAGAGATGACAACTTCCTTCACCTCTTGTCTCTGAGATCACAGGAACTTATCAATCAGCCAATCATTAAACATTTATTAAGTGCTTACTATGTGCTAAGCACCCAGGATATAGAAGTAGGAAGAGGCTTACAATCTAATGATTCAACTATCCAAATATCATCTGTACTATGACCAGAGACAGATCAGGAACTAGAATGCCCTGGTCATGGATTTCCCAGGGGACATTGATAGGTACTCTATTCTTGCTCACTCCTCATTCAAAAGTAAAGAATCTAATGGTCTATTGTAGGAAGGGCTCCTGTTGTTTACTCCTGGTTTCCTGGTTCCAAAACCACATACCTTGGTGTCTATACTTCCTGAAAGTCTTCATTAACCATTAACTAAGGGTGTGTTGGGATAATCCTAACACAGCAGTTGTCAAGGACTGGTCAGATCTTTCACGGTGCTACTTCTGACCAAAATGGTAGGACAGAAAGAGAAAGAGAGAGAGTGAGAGAGAGAGAGACAGAGAGAGAGCTGCATATGAAACAAGAGAACAAGGGGACCATTCGCAAGTTCATTCTTTTCTTCTCTCCATCACCAGGTCAAGGATTTATCTTGGTTGGCCTTTCTTCCCCTTCTTCTACCCTATGATATTGCTAATGGACGCATCAGTTCAAATCCCTTGGGAATGGTATAGTTGGGGACACTGAAAGGAACTGATCTACTGTATCATAAAACTGCTAAAGCCAGTTATTTTGTAAGATTATACTATGTTCATTAAAAAAAATCAATACACCAAAGGTAACATGTCTCAGGTGCCTGTTTCTCTTCCCCAGTCTTTTGAGTTCTGTAGTTCTTCTTCCTTTCCCCACTACTCAATAAAATAAAGGTCTGTCATCATTCCTGAAAATTCATTCAACTGTTTAGTGCTCATTCTGTGTAAGGTTTTGTGGTTAATGCTAGTATAGTTCTCAGGTTCTTCTAGGAGTCTCTGCTGGACTTCTCCCATAAAATTCAAGGGTCACAGATTATGGGATCAAAGATTTACAGCTGAAAGGGACCCTGAAGGCACTTTCCAACCCTCTCATTTTATAGATGAGGAAATCAAGTTGAAGACAGGTTAAGCTCATGGTCCTATTTCTAGTCAGTCTCACCTGGGACCTGAACTCAGGCCTTCCTGATTCCAAGTCTTCTGCTTTCTTCACCATACCATGCTGCCCCTTAAGAAGTACTTTAGCAGAATTTTGGCAGTAATGCAATTTGATAACAATCAAGTCAGGTCAACAAATATTTGTTAAGTACCTACTGTTTGCCAGGCACTATGGTAAAATATGGGAATACAAAAGAAAAGAAAAGGCAAAAACAGCCCCGTTCTCATAGTTCAACAAGAGGGAGACAGTGTACAAAAAAAGATTATAGACAGTTCCTGGCACTGTGCTAGATACTGAGAGCATACAAAACTTAGCTTAGACTGGATCACTTCCCTCAAAGAATGTAGCATCCAATGGGGCACACGATAACAACAAAGATAATAATAATAATACAAATACACAATAATGTATGCGAAGTGCATTAGAATTACAAAACAAAATTATGAAACAAAATGCTATGGTAGGTATGAAAAGGTAGGTCTTTACCAACTGGTGGGATGATAAGGGCGCTTCCCAAAGGAGGTGGCATCTGAGTTGGACCTTACAGGATAGAAAGATCTTTAATAGAATAAGAAAGAAAGGAGAGCACACTAGGCATAGAGAATAGCCTTGAACAAAGAGACAGAGAAATGTGGAAGTAGTGTGCATTTAGGCTTGGGCTTGGGGAGAAGAAAATTGTTTAACTAGGATGAAGCATAAAGTATGTGGTGGGGGTGGGGACAGCTAGGTGGTACAGTGGATAGAGTGCCAGGCCTGGAGTCCAGAAAACTGTTCTTCCTGAGTTCAAATACAGGCTTCTGACACTTACTAGCAGTGTAACCCTGGGCAAGTCACTCAACCCTGTATGCCTCAGTTTCCTCTTCTGTAAAAAGAGCCAGAGAAGAAAAAGGCAAATCATTCCAGTATCTTTGCCAAGAAAACTCCAAATGGGGTAATGAACAGTTGGACATGAGATAAGGCTATAGTGAGAAAGTAGATCCATATTATAAAGGGCCTTGAATGTTAAGCAAGGTAGTTTGAATGTTACCCAAGCAGACTATATGGAGCCTGCATGGATTCTTAGCATGGGAGAGATATGAACAGATTTATTGATGAGGATGTTCATTCTGGCAGTGGTATGAGTCATTGATTGGAACAGAGGAAGAGTAGAGCTGTGAAAGACCTAAAGAAACAATTGCATCACTCAATAGGTAGTAATTAGGACCTGTAGCAGAAGGGTTGTAGGGAGAACAGATGAGAAGATGCCTTCAAAAAGTGTTTTGGAGATGGAATTGACAGGAACTAGTAGGATATGGGAAATGAAGGAGAGGAAAGAATCCACAATAACCCCAAGATTACATACATGGGTAAATAGATGCCACCCCACAGAAGAACATTAAAGTTAGGAGAAGGGGAAGGGGGAAGGAGGAAGACTGACAGTTTCACTCTGGACATGCTAAGTTTGATATTCCAGGGAGGTCTCCTGATATATCCTGTAGACAATGAGAGATGCAGCTTGCTATCCCAGTAGTGAGAGCGCTAGATTTGGAGTTAGAATGTTGCTTTTTGATCATTTTTCCATCATGTCCTACTCTAATGACCCCATTTGGGGTTTTCTTGGCAAAGATACTGGAGTGGCTTCCATTTCCTTCTCCCATGCATTTTACAGATGAGGAAACAAAGCCCTGACTTCAAATCTAGCTTTAGACACTGACTAGCTGTGTGACTTCCAGGCAAGTCACTTAACCTCTGTTTGCCACAGTTTTCTCATCTATACAATACAGATAATAATAGCACCTACCTCCCAAGGTTGTGAGGATGAAATAAGAAAATAATTGCAAATAGAGGTAAAGTCTGGAGAAGCAGATTTGGGAATCACTAGTTTCAATGTGGTAGTTGAAACTATGGGAGTGAGATTTCAAGGAAGAGGATATGAGGAGAAAGGGAAGCCAAGAAATATAGTCATGAGTAAGTGCCCAAAGCAAGTGCAGGCACTGTTTAAAGAAGTTTAGCAATGAAAAAGAGGTGAGAGATCAGACAAGAGACAGCATGATGATTAATCACACTGATAGAGATTTCTCCTTGAGAACAGGAGGTATATTTATCAAGTATGGAGGCGTTAAAAAAATAAAAGAAAAAACCCACATTGACCACTTTGAGGAAAACTTAGCTCCAAAATAAATGTGCCAATAATGGAGAATGTGATTTTAATACAGAATCTTAAAAATCTGTTCATACCAAACATTCATACAAAGAATATGGACATGGATTATATAACCTCTCCCAGGTCCTGATGGATGGATACCAAACCTTGAAAAAGCCTCAAAGCGATGAGGCCAATGTGAGAGAGAAATGCTGCCCCAGGAAAAAAGAAGCTTAGCTTCACTGCTCCAAGGGGGTAGGGGTTGTGGCGGTGGGGGTTGGGGGTTGGGACTGGTTGATTAATCCAAAAAAAGGAGAATGAGCAAAACCTAGAAGAATCTTCCTAGCTTCTGGAAGCACAGTCCTACAAAAGCCCTAAGCCCCCAAAGACCTGGAAGTATCTCCAAGCCCAAGCTCTGACCAGCTATGAGTCTTCAGAGCTTTCATAATCTATCCCAAGAAGTTCAAGCTATTTCTCAGGCTAGTCAATCACAAATGAGAGGGAGACATACCATTCTTTCAGTTTTGATCAATGGTTATGCAGAGGAATATGTGTTAAAAGTCACCTTGAAGGTACAGGTCACATTCTTGCCCCTAGTCTAGCTTCCGTACCAGTACTTTTAGTGCTCAAAGGCATATACCCAGATTTCCAAGGTTGACAGAAGGCCTTCTTCCCTCCCTCCCTCTCTCCCTTTCGTCCTTTTTTCCTACCTCCCTTTTTCCTTTCTTCTTCCCTTCCCTCCTTTCTTCTTTCTTTCTTCCTACCTCCTTTCCTCTTCCTTTCCCTCCTTCCTTTGTTCTTCTCTCCTTCCCTTTGTTTCTTCATTTTGTTCTTCTTCCCTTCCTTCTTCCCTTCCTT